AATTATACAAACAACTTTATTAGAATATAAAAAGAAAGTATATTAAATAAAATTAAAGATGTTTTAAAAAAAAAATAAACAAAAAAAAAATTTTTTTTTTAAATATTTTATTTCGTTTAATTTGATTGGTTGACTTGAATTTTATTAGGTTGGGTCATAAGCTTGACCTGACCTAATGTTGACCTAAAAATTTGTCTATCTGATCTGAATTTTTCAGGTCGGGTCAGGTTGGGTCACAGGTTAACCTGACCTATTTCAGAGCTTTAAGTATAATAAAAAGGATTAATTAGATTAATTATATATTAACTTAATATTTGAATAATTAAATATACAGATATGTAAAATAAACAGTTTTTTGGAATATTTACAAAATTAAGTAATTATTTCATAACTAAAGTTATTGAATAAAATTTTGTATTTAATCAAACATTTAAATAATAAAGATAAAACTTGATTAAATTATAAAATTCGAAACAAAAGTAAAACTATATTAAAGTTTATAAAAATTGTTAAAACTATATTAAATATTTAGTAAAAATTTAGTAAAATTAAAGTTTAGGTGTTTAGCCAAAAATTAGTTTATATAAGTAACCTTACTTATAACTTAATAAAAAATTTTTAACTAATACTAAAATATATAAAATATATAAAATTTATTTATATTAAATTTATAAATCTAAAAAAACTATTATGTTAAAATTAATTATATATATGAAGATTAAAATTAAAACTTAAAATATCTTAATTTATAAAATCTTATAATATTACTATTTATATTTCAAATTAAAATTATTTAATATTAATATTTATATAAACTAATTTATAATATAAAAAATTATATAATTATAATATTTTTACTTATAAGATAGAAACTTATATTATATACAAAAATTAATTTATAAATATATTATAATAATTATAATAATAATATATAAGAAACAAATAATAATTTAATATTTTAATAGTAAACTCATATATTATATTTTATGAATGGATTTTATTAAAATATTATTTATAAATAAAATATTTAATTTTAAATTTTTTTTACTATAAAAAATAATATACTGTATATTTATAAATAAAATTAATTAATTGATAAAATTAATTTTTTTTAATTTTATAAAATTATATTAAATATTTTCTATATTTTAATACTTTGATATAATAAGCTTTATTAAAAAATATTCAAGAAAAAAATTGGATAAGAAGTGTAAAGATCAATTTAAAGAATTTAAAGATAAAAAAGTTACCTTTCTGCTACAGAAAAAAAATTTTTTTTCGTTTCAGCAAATTGAATTAACATAAAAGTAATTAATTCATTTTTATTTAATATATATATTTTTTTGTCTACTTAACTAGTAAAATACTATATTAATTTATTAACGTAAAATATAACAACAAAATTTGGCATTTCAAAAGATGTAGCACGAAGAAAATTTTTTCCGATTCAGATAATTCCTTTGTAAATGCTTTGGGGTTACCGGGAATTTATCCATTCCCAATTTTTGTTGAGTATTATCTATAGTAAAAGGTGCTATAAAGATTCGGGCTAAACCTAAACCTTTCGCCCAAAATCCGAAACAGTAAAAGTTTCGCCTGAGGATGAAACTCCGAAGCCTTCCTAAATCGCCCAAAACCGAAACTTATTCCGAAAATAAATCATATCCAAATTATAAGAGTAATATATTATTTTGCAAAAAAGTAATTAAATATGGATCATGAATAAAAAAATTTAACGTTGCGAATTTCCTTTTTAAAAAGTAATAACTTTAAAAAAATTTATTTATCGTAAAAAAAAACGGTAGATCACGTAGATCTTTCCTTTTATAGATAATATCGCACGGAATTTAACTGAAAAAACGCGACAGCTAATGTATCGTGAAGTTCAGTTTTGGATAATATCCGTTTTATATTTTTTCAAAAATCCGAAATGTTTAGTATTTGGAAAAGTGTTTACCCGAATCATTAGTTTGTATCAAGATAATCGCCGGAATATTTTTTTGTTTTTTTTCGCTTTTGAAATATTTAATATTCTAGATGTGTATTTATAAAAAAAAAAAAAAAATATTGGCTCTTAAAAAAAAGAATTTATTTTTTTCTAAATCCGTATTGATTCAGTATGGGTGATCGGTTACGTATACGAAAGTAGGAAAAATGATTTTCCATTAAAATCACCTTACTGATCATATGATTTACGGTTGGTTAAAACTCCGGATGGTATGGTCTAAGTTTCCCCTTTTGGGATCATCCGAGGTTGAATGATGAATTAATAAATCCTTAGGGACCACCTATATAGATATTACAAAAACTTTTAATAAATCTAAAAAAATTTTCTTTCGCGATCTAGTTGCGCTGTAGCGTATATAACTTGTGCATTTAAGAATAATTATAATTCAAAAATATATAAATAAAAATAATTCAGATAAAATTTATTTGTAACGGAAGATATGATATGACCCCTCGTGAAATTTAAGGAATTAATCCAGTATTCAACCCTGGATTATTTTTGGATAAAATCTTGGATGGTCTCAAAAGATCATCCGGATCTAAAAAATAATACGGGTTGAATCCCGGACCTTTGAACAGGACAGCGCATCATACCCATATGTTATGAGAAAAATCAATATCAGGAAAATGATTTTCCCACCGAAAAAAATAATTATAAAAATGCGAATAAAAATTCCAATTCTTTTAAAAATATTCAACATAAAATTGAATAAATTACAAACGCGCCAATCATGAGTCATCAAAATTTTGCACCAAAGAAATTGGTAAAAGATGTTGATCCAACAGAAGTTCAAAAATTCAAAGAATCATTTAATGATGACATCACTAAAGTATTGGTGGAAGGTGATGAAGGTTATGAAGCGAGTCTGAAAAGATGGTCTTTAAATGCAGAGAAGAAAGCTGGAATCGTGGTTCAACCCACTTGCGCTGAAGACATCTCCAAAACCTTGAAATTCGCTAGTCAAAATAATTTGGATTTCGCCGTATGTGGAGGTGGACATTCAACTTCCGGAAGTTCAAGTTCCGAAGGAGGAATTTTATTACATATGAGAAAATGTAACAAAGTCAGAGTTGATGTTGAAAAGAAATTGGTTTATGCTCAAGGAGGAGCAATATTTGGTGAAGTTGATCAAGAAGCTTGGAAATATGGGTTAGCCATTGTGGGTGGTGTGGTTGATAATACTGGAATTGGTGGGTTAACTTTAGGCGGCGGTTTTGGTTTCTTGACAAGTCAACACGGATTGGTAATTGATAATTTGGTGGGAGCTACGATAATTACCGCGGATGGTAAAGTGAGAGAATTATCATCCAGCAAAAACGAAGATTTATTTTGGGCAATTAAAGGAGCTGGAACCAATTTCGGAGTTATCTACGAATTTGTTTTTAAAGCGCACGAACAAAAAGATATCGTTTCCGGTCTTATAATGTATCCTAGTGACAATTTGGAAACCGTCCTTGAAGCTACCAATTTATGGCATGAAAATCGTGGACTGGATGAAACTATTAATTTGGTGATTGGTAGACTTCCTCCAAAATTTTCGGTAATTATCATGTTTCTAGATTTTATGAACAAATCACTCTCTTTATGAGTAAAGATACTGACGTACGTTTTCTTAAATTCTAGCCGTTTATCGCTTTATTTTTATTTTCTAATGATCCATCCGAACAAGTTTATAAAGAAAAATTTTCAATGTTTTATAAATGTGGAGAAATCATTATGGAACAAGTGGAGAGAATCCCATATCCTAAAGTGAATACATTGGGAAATGCATTTATGTCCCATGGCGATCGCAAGGCAATTCGTGACGCGCATTTTACTAAACTAAGCATCGCAAACGTTCGTGAGGTTTTAGATTCTTACATTAAATTTACTGATGCTGATCCAACAAGGAATCAAACACTGTTATCGTATGAATTTTATGATTACAAGAAATTTGCTTCGGTGGCCGCCGATTCCACAGCATTTGCTCATCGCAAACCATTTTATAATGCAGTGATAACTCAAAGATGGATAAATGAACAAGATGATGAAATTGTTAACGAATGGTCCAAGAATATACAAGAGATCATTTGTAGGGATGGGGATGATGATAAATCCCTTTATGTTAATTTCGAGAGTACCATGGACAGTACAGATTTTAAGGAAGAAAGGTTGAAAAAATATTTTGGTGCGAATTTGGAAAAATTGAAAGAATTAAAAAGAAAGTATGACCCAAATGTATTTTTTAGGAAAGGAGTTGTCATTTGGCCCTAGATTGTTGAAATAAATTATTTTTTGAGTCACCCCCCTTTTTTTATTTATTGATGTAAACAATTACTTGTAATAAAGCTGTTGTAATAATACGCGTTTTAATTTGAATAGTCAAAAAAAAATTTTTTCGGATCTCCCAAATTTAGAATGATTCACGTCCAATTTCTAGTTCGACGTGTACGACCTTTATTCCAGCCAAACCCTAACTGTCATAAATATTCTTTTTTGTCGTGATTTGTAGTAATAATAAAAAAATGTTTTATGTACATTCAATTAATATTCAAATTCGAAATATCTCCCGTCCTCATTTCTCTGTAGGTTAATAATTATAATATGTTTAGACTATTTAAAATATTTATTATTAAAATAATAGAAATAATAAGATAGATATAATAATAAATAATAATATTATTAATAATTATCGCGCCCACAGATAACCCGTCCTAAAACTTATATATCTTACAAAAAAAAAAAAAAAAATATTTTTTTAGAATAAAATATTCTGGGTAATTAAAAGTATTTTTCCCTAATTCTAACTTGCTTTGCATGAAAAATTTGAAAATGACAATCAGCCGATTCATTAATTCTTTGACAAACTTTTAAATATTTTTCAGGATGAATATAGTCAAACCCAACCCACTTCAAGGTATTTCTCTCTCTTGAAAAATCCAAAAAGATTTGAAGATTTGACTCTTCAATAACATCCATAATGATAGTAGATAAAGGTGAACAACATTTAGAAAGGTAACCCTTTAAATGTATAATATCAAAATTAATTAGTTCCAAATATTGCAATTTTTCTAATTGAAGCTTTGAAAATCCATTCTCCAATTCATCCCCAATGTTGATATTGGCAAAACTTAATTTTAAATGAGTAATATGTTTTAAAAGACTTATAATAGATATTACGCTTAATATATCAACTGGTCCATTATAGGCACTTAAGGATAAGTGTGTAATATTTTGACAATGATTCACTAAAGTTTCAAGTCCCTCGCTAATATCTTCTGATCTAAATTTAATCGAAACTTGTTCCAACGCTTCACTCGACTTAATGATGATAGCTTTTAAAACATCATTTGGTAAATCACTAAGATACAAATACTTTAGTTTAATGGGGGCTTTAAGAATAGGTTGAATTAATTCAATTGATAATGAACGACATTTTCTAAAGACTAAATATTCTAATCTGGTACTACGTGAAAGTGAGGACAAAGATAACCCTGAAAGGATCAAGTCATCCAACACCAAACTCGTCAATTTATGAACAGGTAACGCACCGATCAACTTATTCATGTCTCCATATACCTTATAAAAACGACAATAAGTTAACTCTGGTTGTGACTTGATTAATCCCGTTAATATTTCCGCAATCACGCAATTTGGAACCATTATTCTATTAACATCCAGTTGAACTAGTCCGTTACAAACATTTGGTAATAATTTTAAAAGGTCATATAAATTCTCCCTTCGCTCGTGCTGATCTATCAAATTCGCGTAAAAACGAACCTTAAGTTTTCGTAAATTTGCCAATCCAGGTTCATTATCGATAAAAATCCTACTTCTTGGCATATCTTTATCAGGATCATAAGGGCTTAGAATAAGATATTTCAAATTTAATGCGCTTCTCATAAACATTTTACATAAAGAATCAATCATGGCATTTTTTGCTCGTATTGAAGGATATTCCTCATTGATTATCTTTGTTCCTTGTTGTATAGGTAAAGGTAATTGTGCTAAGCTTTTTTTCATCCTTTTTATAGAATAATCATCTGGATGATGTGGATTTTGTAAACCAAAACCAAAATTATTCTTCATCCAAGCATCAGTTGCTTTTTCAATAGCTCCAATATCAAGGATGTGTAAATATTGTGCATAATTAAATAAAGGAGATGGATTTTTCGGTAAATCCGAGAGATCAATTTCTTCTTTAGATAAACATGATATTTCTTCTTCGTTAAAGAAATAGATGAACACCCCAATGTCAATTATTTTCTTCCTTTCCGGATTATATGGCATCGGTCTCCTCCAAATTATTGGAATAACTTTTCGACACCAAAACCTGTTAACGAAAAGACACGAATATAATGATCTCCTATCGAGTTTCAAATGCTTAAATATTTCGTCAAAACATTCTGAAGGTAATCTTGTAATTGTTGTACAATCTTGAGAAGTTTCAGTTATCATTTTTTATTAATTTTTTTTTTTTTTTAAAAAAAAAAAAAAAAAAAAAAAAAAAAATTATGATTTATTTATTCAGTTTGTTTTAAAAAAAATTAAAAAAAGGCTTTTTTGCACAAAATACGACTATCCAAATCAGGTTGCCCTTTTATACAAGTTAAATCATTTGATTCACAAATTTCTAAATTTGGTGCGGAACTACTTCCTTCTGACACAACCCTTTTTAACAAACGATCATCTGACCTTTCCCTGAGGTACCAAAAAATCGCGGACACGTGATTGTTCCTCGAATGTTCGAATTCCACTTAAAGCTTCTTTTTTCTTATGCGTCACTTTATAATAATATAATTTCAGAACCCTTAAAAATGATGACTCAAAATTAAATTGTTGTATATATCAATATATCATGGGAATCATAAGCAAAATTGATAAATCATTACACTCAAATTATGTCGAAAGGTGATTAATTAATTAGTCGATAAATATTTAATTATAACTTTTTGTTTCCTTTTGTTTTTTTATTAATTACAAGAAAAATAAAAAATATTCGTGAATCCGTTCTCCATTACAACATATTTACTCATAAAAGTTTTTTCTAAATGTCCGATCGAAAGAATCAAATTCCTTATGTTTTAGTACCGACTTTAACGGAAGAGCAAAAAAAAAAGTATAAATATAGTCCTTCTGCCATTCATTCTAATCCAAAGAATCGACACGAATCAATTGAAGATACTATTAATGATGATAATTCACAAACTCAAATCAAGGATGTGATTGGAGAATATGTTTTACATGAATTCGACAACAGTGCAACCGATATAGAAGGAAACAAAATGATCATCAAAGCCAAGGATTCTGAAATCAATACTACAGATTATAATAAGGTGGCGAGTAAAAGCACGATTTACAAAGCCACTAGTAATGTTGACAATATAAACGAATTTTTTGAAAATGAATCCAAGGATAGTATGATGAGTCAAGGTGTCAAATTGCAATTGCAAGAGCAAGAATATCTAACAGACGGTGAAATAGAAGAAATTGTATTATTATCATCAGGCGAAGACCAGTTTGTTACAAAAAATACGTGCAATAATGGAATTGGAAATGGAAATGGAAACGCGAAGAATGAAAATAATGATAAAGTCAATACGAATTCTAGAAAGGAACATACATTAGCCACCATTTCGAAGGGAATAATGGCTGTGGATCGTGGCATTGATGAATCGAATCTTCATGAATCTGATATGGATGAGATAATGGAAATTAAATATCGAAATGTAATCACTAATATTTATTTACTTGTTCTTTTTCTATAAAGATGCGCTAAATACTTTTATCCTATAATCTTAGTCGGCGGTTCAATATTTGATTAAATATAAATCTTTAAGAGAACAAAAGTGGATAATTGCTAATGAAATGTAAGAACGTTTTTAATTTTTATTTGATCAAATTCTTCGAACTGAGGTAAATGGAAACATAAATTAGTGATCCAAAGGTGAATAAAGAGCTACTTGAAAAAAAAGATAAGAGACAGAAAGACTCGAAAAACTCAAAAGACCGCAAACGGAAGAGACATTATGAAATCGAAGATAATGATAGAGATTGGAAAAATGAAGTCGTCGAAGTGAGAGGAATGATAAAAAATTCATATAATAAAGTCGTTAGTTATATTCTATGGTAAATTTTTTTTTTTTTTTTTTTAATATCAATTCAACCTTTTTATTTTATCGTTAAAAAGTTAATTTTTTTTTTAGGAAGGATGGAAAGCTAACTAAACATTATAATGAAGTTGTAAACACCAAATGTCCGCAAAAGGTAAGAATTTTTTACTTTTTTTACGGACTATATATACCGATACTCTCAAAATCTAATAAATATTTTGATCTGATCAGGTGATTGAATATTATGAAAAGCATTTGGTATTTAGTCCCAAAAAATCAAAGAAATAAAAATTTTTAGAATTTTGTCAATTGCCCTTTTTTTGCAAATATAGTTAGCGAATTTTTAAACATTAAACCAAATTCATTTAAGATCGCCACATTGATCATGTATGAAGATCTAAATATAAATATCATAATTATTTTTTTCCCATCGAATTCGTTTTGGTTTTTCTCTAAATATGAAAGCTATTGTAATAAATAATTGGTTAAAAAATGTTGATGAAATGAAAATTTATGATAATGCACCTGAACCAAATTTATGCGATGATCAAGTGTTGGTTGAGATTAGAGCTGCTGCTTTGAATTTTTTTGATATTTTACAGGTAAATCTTGAAGTTAAAGTGTGGTTAAATATACATTTTTTGTGAATGTTGTATTGTATAAATTACGATAATGATGGTATTGAGGTTGAAAATAAAAAAAAACCCGTTTGTTAGGTTCAAGGAAAGTATCAAATTAAGCCACCCTTTCCATTTACACCTGGAATTGAGGTAATGCAATTTTTCAATAATATATTACTACATTCTTCATTAGTAAATAATACTTTTTGTCAAAACATAGTTTGCTGGAATCGTGATTAAGGCAGGGAAAAATTGTAAAAAATCATTTAGACCAGGAGATAAAGTATTTGGTTGCGCACAAGGATCTTTTGCGGAGCGTGTTGCTGCATTAAGTAGTGATGTATATTTAATACCTGATGGGTTGAGCTTTGAAGAGGCTGCAGGGTTATTTGTTACGTATCCTACTAGTTATGCTGCTTTGGTTATTAGAGCAAAGTTACAAAAAGGTAATTAATATTATTTCATTATTATTTTTTTTTTTATTTAATAATATCTTTATTTTTTATTTAATCATTTTTCAGTATTAAATTAATTTAATTTAATTTAATTTTTTTTTTTTGAACAAAAGATGAATGGTGCCTCGTTCATGGTGCAGCTGGTGGTGTCGGTATTGTAGCTGTTCAAGTTGCTAAACTTCTTGGAGCAAAAGTTATTGCTGCAGCAGGATCACCAGAAAAGTTAGACATTGCAAAGAAATTAGGTGCAGATTATACAATTAATTATAATGAGAAAGATTGGCAAAAACAAGTATTAAAAATTACGGGAGGAAAAGGCGTTGACGTTGTTTATGATCCTGTAGGATTGATTCAACCTTCTATTAAATGCATTGGTAATTCATCATCGATTTTAATTTTGTTTTTTTTTGTTTCCGAAAATTACACTTACTCGTATGATCTAACGTGATTTCTGCTTAATACAAAATTTTGGTATAGCATGGAATGGAAGACTCATTGTGATTGGGTTTACAGGTGGTAACATTGAAAAGTTACCATTAAACCTCGTTTTACTCAAGAATATTTCAGTCATCGGTTTACATTGGGGAGCATATACGAAAAATGAGCCAGAACGTATTGAAGAAGTATGGAATGATTTATTAAATTTATTGGCTAGTAGAAAGTTAAAACCTGTCATTTATGAAAAAATTTTTTATGGGTTGGATAGCATAAAAGATGGTTTAAAAGCTATTGCAAGTAGGAAAACTTATGGTAAAGTTATTGTTATTCCTAGTGGTGCTAAATCTAGTAAACTTTAAATAACATTATGCGTGATGATTCCATTAAAATGAGAAGTGTGTGATTGAAGTATTTAATGCCCAAAATAAAAAATTATCTAATTTATAATATAAAGAATTTTGTTGTTTAGACTTTGGTAATTGGTTTCATTTCATAATTGGTTCGCGTGTCTTATGTCATCCCAAAATATTTCATATGATGACGAAAATAATTACGCGTAAAATACGATTTATTACGCCAAAATCAGCAGGAAATAAAAATCGTTCTAAATTGTGGGAAACGCCAAATCAAATATACAGTAAATTATAAAAGTTCAAAAAAAAAAAAAAAGATTCCTTTCAATAGGACAGGAATAATGTCTTTGAGTTCAACTTCCCAAGCTTATGGTCAAAATGAGACACTCATTTCTTCCATCCGAAATATTATAAAAGTGTGTTTTCAATACTTTAAAAATGAATTGTATACGAATATGTCTAATGACATATATTTAATATTTACAAGGATTATCCCTGTCAAAGTATACTTAAAGAATTCCTTCAAAATGGTAAGTGAAATGCGTCGAGTTCCTTGAGGATCATTCGAAATGCTTATTCTCCCTCTTAAAAAGCCGATGACGCTGGAGCTTCTCGGTTTCATGTTATAATTGACGGACGTTCTCATCCCACCGAAACTCTACTTCGCGACGAAATGAAGGTCTGGCAAGGTCCCGCTATTTTGATGTTCAACAATGCTATTTTCAAGACAAAAGATTTTGATTCGCTTATGCAGATACGTGTTGGCGGAAAACAAGACGATGATACGAAGATTGGGAAACATGGGTTAGGTTTTAACTCGTGTTACCACTTTACTGATGTTCCGAGTTTTATAAGTGGCGATTCTATTGCATTTTTGGATCCTCAAGAAAAATTCTTGCCAAAAAGAAATGGCGAAACTCAACGTGGGATTATTGGACCTTTTCCAAAAAATGGTATTAGAGGATATTCTGAAAAAGACCAATTAGTTCCTTATGAAGGAATTGAAGGTATCGATTTCCGTTCAACTTTTCAAGGAACACTCTTTCGAATACCACTTCGGAAACAACCAAGTGATATTTCTGACAGTATTTTTACAACGAATCAAATCCTCGAATTGTTCACCAGTCTTAAATCAACTATTTCCTCCCAATTTTTATTTCTTCGAAGCATCGAAACAATTGAAATTTCTCATATACCTGAGACATCTATTCCACCACAAATGAATTCACTTTATAAAGCGGCAATAACGGGATTGACTGAAAATGTGAGGAATCAAAGAAAATGCATTAAAGACAATGAAATTCAAGCTTTTCAAATGGATATCGAACAGACTGAAGATCATAATACTTTACAAAATGACACTTGGATTATAGTCACTGGTGCTCAACCAAATCCTGATGATCCTCAGCTGATTAATTATGCCAACCGATATCGATTACGCGTATTAGGAGGTATTGCTGCATTATATAAAAGTTCGAATAACCGGAACAATAACGTATTAGAAAGTATTGCTGCATTTCATAACAGTACGGTTAATCGCGACATTCGTAGTTATGCATACTGTTTAATGAGAAGTTTTAATGATAATATTTTTGGCGGGAGATTATATTCTTTCCTTTCGTTACCCGACACGACGAATTTGCCATTTCATCTTAATGGAACCTGGGCTCAAGGCTCAGATCGTGGAAGGTTATTAATAGAAAGAGATTATTCGCCGGATATAGATCAACAGAAGCTAAATTGGAATAGACATATCCTGCTTGATTTCCTTCCTAAATTATATTGCAAACTTATAAAAAAAGCCGTCGAATTGAAAGAAAAGGAGAATATTGAGGGTATCGAAACAATCAATTTTGAAAATCAAAGTCATCCTTTTTCCAAGTTCTGGCCATTTCCACATTCCGTCCAAAAAAGTAGTTCAAAGTACGTAATTGAGTTCGGTTTCAAAGTACTTGAACATATGATACAAAAAGAAGACTTTTTTGATGGCAGCATTGAGAACCGTGTAAACTCTCAATTCGAGCTCCTATCGCGTGGTCAAACTTATGCGCTCCGTAACTTTCTACATATTGCCTGGCATGAAATAGGTACAATCTCTTTGAGTTTGGTATTTACACAAATCAAAATAATATATATGAAGTGGCTTATTGTTTTCTACTTTATGTAGCAACTCCCAATTTCAAGTCAATAGCTCGCTTCTTTCCTATTTGGGAAGTTTTATCGAATCCATTAGTTGGAAATTCAGAACCGCTGCCTTTAAAGCCAGCGTCTTGCGGATATATTTTAGAAAGAAAAATCAAACAATATCAAATAAAGACTTCCAAAATCTATTTTGATGCTCTTAACGATCTTGATCGTTCAATTTTAATTCAACTTAATGTACCCAAGCGAACCATTTATGAATACACTTTCGAGGATGTAGAATTTCCTAGAGAATATGATAGACATTATCTCGATTTCCTTAAAGACATACTTAAAGATAATCGAATTGTTCAAAATCTAAGGAATAAACGCTGCTTCCCCAATTCAATTACAAACAAATTAAAGAAAATCTCCGATCTATACGACAATAGCAACCTGGTTTTTCGGACCGTGTTTGGCGGAGACTCTAGTGTCTTTCTTCATCCTGAATTCTCCGAATACGGAATGATTCTATCGACAATTGGATTTAAAAATAAAATTGATTTAGAGATATTCAGAATGTGTGCTGTTAAAGTCAAGGAATTATTGCAAAGGGACCCCGAACCCCCATCTGACATACGTTATCGTGGCTTTATCCTGGTTGATCATCTATATAAAAATATTAATTCTTTAAATTTGGATAGCTTAGAAGGAATTCCATTCATCCCAATTACCAAAAGTTTGGGCAAGCCATACAATCTACATTATAAACACCCTCATGCTTTAGATTGCTTGAATAACGTTATTCTTCACGCATATAGAGAAGTCGCGTGGAGTAAGATGCCATTGATTGCGGAAGATGTAATACCACCTCAACAAGTGCTCGAAAAATATCCATCATTTGGTAAACCAGGTGTTTCTATTGTAATCAGTCATCTCCGCTTCTTGTATTCAGTACTCCGGAACGAAGAAGTATGGAAGAAAGATTGGGCTGATGTATTTAGAAACAACATTTACGAGGTTTATAAATGGCTAGATGAAGAATGTTGTTCAAATGAAGATCTCGACTTATCGGAACACATTTGTTCCGAACCATTATTCCTTAATTTCAATAGAAATCAAGATCCATTTAACCTTGAAAATTGGGTTACTTCAGCCGATTTGGTCTTGAACAGCGAAATTGACGAGGTGAAGTATGTCCATCCAGTTCTTGCAAAATATCCTACCATGCTCAAAAGTGCCGGTGCTCGCGAAATAAGGCGGTCTAATGTTCAAATTAATGTCAGAAAGCACGACCAATCACACCATAATAAAAAAACTCTGTTTAAATTTCTATTTGATCAGACATCCTCCTTGCATGAAGTAACTTTTGTTGTGAATGGTGAAAATATAAAAGCAAGTCGATATATGCTCGCTGCAAGCTCTGAATTTTTTCGCCAAAAATTTATTTCTGAAGAAACCATTCCGACTAACCCAATCACGATTACTAATAGGGATATTGAACCTAATTCGATGCGCATCTTATTACGCTATATGTATGGCCAAGATATTGATGACGCAATTCAAAATCGACTAAGTTTAAATGGTAATGTGGATCTTAGTTTTGAACCGAATACCGATGAATCTCAAGTATTGGTATTATACAAGGACTTGCTTAAATTAGCAGATGATTACAAGTTAGATCATTTGAAGGAGCTTATGGAATTGAGACTCTCAAGATTAGTTCTCATGTCGAACGTAGATGAAATGAAAAGATTTGCAGAAATTACGAATGCCAATCAGCTCAATGAATATTGTCATGATTTTAATCGCGTTAATAGCGGCATTAGGGCTTGATGATACAAATACTTGTATATATATATTTTTATGGAATTTGAATAAATAATTGTAAATATTAATAGTCAAATCGTATTTTATTGTTGTTACAAAAATTTTTTTGGTTATATAAATGAAATTTTTTTTTTTTTTTTATAGTAATAAAATCATTTTTTTTAATAATATTATGCAGATTGTCTAAGGGCAAGTTTGAAAAGAATATCTCAATTATTTATGATTGTATTAATTTAACATCTAATTTTTAATATTACATTTTTATAATTCATAGTTATCGTTAATATTAATGAATTTGCGGGTGTCTATATGGCTATTTCGATACTTTAAAATAATAGTTTATGAAGAAAGGCATAATCGTTTTTCACAGTAATAATTTGTTATTGTTTTTTTTTGAATATGAACAAAGTTTGTAGACAAGGGAACGGTTTCGGAATCTTCGGTAAAGTCCGGAGCATAATGTAACGAAAAAGTATCGAGCAATTTTTAAGCGGTCATTAAAAATGTCTAAAAATATTAATAATCGCATCATCTCGCTAAATTATTTCGCGTGGCGTGTTATTGATATCACGTAAATGTTCAATACTTGGCAAATAAAGTTTTATTATATTGGTAATAAATAATATATATGAGAATGTAGAGTGTAAATGTAAACAGCCCCAGAACATGCGTGTAGTGCTCCGTAAGGGTCGGGTCGGGTCGGGTTTGAAGCAAACTCGAACTCGAACCCGTTAATATTTACAAGACC